CCCATTTGGCAAAAGAAAGTAGATTTTCATATGTAATTGACCGACATATGATAATACGCAGCTTGGGTATTATTTAACACTGTTTTAATCCCTAGATTACAGTAAGCCCAATCTTCTTGATACATGTAGCTACATGTACATGTTTACTGTTCACCAACTGTTTACTGTTTACCAACAGCTGAAAGTTTGCGCTCTTGTTTCTGTCTTCAGGGGAAGCTGATTGTGACTTTATAGGTATAGTGCCACCAGACCATTTTATTTTCCATCAAACAGATGTCTTAAGGAAAACACTTGTACTTCATAAGACTTCATAAGACCTGTAAAGCAGATCCATAAAGTCTATTAACACACACACACACACACACACACACACACACACATGTTCACTGTGCACTGCATGTTTTTAACTGATGCACGCTGTATTGTTATCCAATCTCGCGTTATGTTCTAAATAATGCACATCCCAGGAGCGCGATATACATACTAGTATACGATAGCATACCTTGCTATCCTCGGCATGCTATCGTGTATATTGGCTTGGGGTTAGCGGTGCATTATTTGTCACACATACAAAAAAATCGTAAACGTTTCCACCCAAACCCCTCTGTTTTGTTTGCCTAGAACATTTTTAAAAATTTTTGTTTTTAATTCTACAAAGTGCACTCTATTGGCGCATCTTATTATACATATACATTGTTCAAGTTTTGCTTGCATATCTGTTACAAAATTGTAGAGATACACCCCTCAGCCGTATCTCTATTTCATACATGTAGGAGCCTGTAAATAAAAGTGTAAGACGATTTAAAATAACGATTGATACTTTTTTGTCATTCGATCATGTGACCCTTTTCAACTGGCCGTTCCAAAAAAAAACGCATTGTTTTTTTAAGGCAAAGTAAATGCTTTCCCCCAAATTTAAACTTAATCATCTAAAGGGAAAAAGATTGTTTAATTTTATACATATACTGTACATAAAACAAAACGCTTCTGCGATCCAAATCACGGTTTTCTTCAAGAAGTACATTCTGGAAGACCCGGAAAATGTTAGTAGAAAGAGCAAATCATTTTTTCCAAAATTAAATCTTAATTATTTTTAGGAAAGCGAATTGATTTATTTATATTTATATGTAGTAATGGGAAACACCAACCTCGAACCTCATACATCGTCCGTATTGGCTAAAAAGTATCGCAACAAAGTACAAACTGGTATAATGAGCCTCAGTAATTGAGGATATAATCGCACCCAAGACAGAGTCAAAGGATTTGCTTTGTTCTTCATTTTAAACTTTCAGTTATGGAGTTGTTATTACAAGAGGTTCAAAAGGAAGTTTTCCCAGAACGAATGATTTTCATTGCAGAGGCTGTGTTTCCGGGCAGCATTTATTCCATTCATGTAAAATGTCTACCAAAATGTCTCACAAAAGTTCAGACATCAACTCAGGATTAGAATGAATTTTGATGTTGGAAAAATTCTCAAGACAAATTGAAAAAAAAACAACAAAATCTGTCACACTTAATATAGAAATGCTTCAACCTGGTATTTCGTATGTCTGGATTTTCACTGATATTTTTCAAACATCTGTATAACCATTTTTTTCTCATTCCATTGTTCACGCAAAGCAAATAGAAACAGGAGTGGTTTTAAGTGTCTCACCATGCCCACGAAGTAAGAGAGCGACATGTGAACTATATTCACAGTCAACCTAAGCTTTTATCTACTTGTAGGTCATTATACCCTTTTCGGTTAGGTTCCATCTGAAAAGTTTAACGAGTTGTGTCCAAATTCACAAAGAACATTGTCAAGATTTACAATGCCCTGCTTTATATCCAAACACCCAACATCCAGGTCTATGTATATAGCCATTAGGTATATGGTGGTTGCAGTGCCACTGAAGGCAAACAAAATGAAATGACCATGCTTCAGAGGTTTGGAAATATATACTGCATGTTCTTGGCTCAGCTCATTTTATGTTTTTTATCAACGCACATTGTAATTGCTCTAAAAAGGCTCAGCCATTCGAACATATTGTAAATAGAACTCTAAAACACTCCATTTTGCATTGCAATTGAACGTTTCGGAGGTAATGACATAAACTAATACAAAGTTAATGGATGGCTGTTCATATATTGCAGTCATACGTCACACACGTTTTTTATTATCTTTTCTTGAGATGCCATTGTTATTGCAATATCTCTGCTTGAATTGCCTTTACCTGATGTTAAATGTACAGAAATATAGAAAAGAAAGATATCCAGTATAGCAATAGCGGGTTACAGCCAGAAAAGCTCCAACAATAATTATTGGATCTTATTTTTTTTCTAAGAAGATGTCGTGACAGAGATGGTAGTCCTTGGGTGACATATAATCATAACAGGCCATGGCTAGCTGGTGGTATCGGCGTCAGTAAATGGGGCTAATGTCGAGTGTTTAAAGTGATGGAGAACGGGCTACGATTCTTAGTGGGCTCCCATTTCTGTCACAGCGGCCATACTATGTATAGTGCCTATGTATACCTCAAAAAATTTCAAGTTAATTTCACCCACCTCTCGTGTTCCATGTTCCAATGGTATCTGTAGCTTTTTCATCGCATGCAATATACAGCACATGTTCTCCACTAAATTGTCCACTATTTGTGCTCTGTAAAAACATCGGTCCTCGTCCGTAAATCCATTCATGTGGATAATCCTGGGAGGAAATACACATAATATTTGTCATCAAACGATTGTCACAATGCCTAGGGTTATTGTTGACATGTGTAAAAGTGATGGAGGAAATACACAAAAAAGTCACATTCGGAGTAACTGAACTAGTAATTTTTGACTTGCATTCATTGAGTATATAATGTACCTGATCAACAGCTATGCTCAAATTAGCTGTTTTCATCGACAAATAAGCTGCTTTCCAAACTTCTGTGAGACTGTAACTCGTCAAATTAGTTATAATTACGGAAATTGGAATATGATTAACAAGTAGAGTGTGATTTACTAATACAATTTTTTTGTCTTTGTCATATTGTGCATTTTTGTATATAGGAAATATGTGCCCGAACATTCATCCTTGCGCAATTTTGTTGTGACAGAATTACCTCATAATATGACAATTATTTCGGCAATATTAAAACGGATAAGGGAAACATAGCAACGTGTTGAACCAATACAACAACATTGCACCCGTTGACCTAATTCACATATTTCAAATGAACTATTGCATTCCAGCTTATACCTGTCATTATTTCAACAAATAACANAAAAAAAAAAAAAAAAAGAGAGAGAGAGAGAGTGACCGCCGGAGGAAATGATACGAAGCCTATTGCCTTTGTCGATGCGACAAAATCAATTGCTTTATACTCACTTCATTTGCTTTGCGAAGGTGCTCTTTCCAGACTCCGCTGCGCCTATTTAAGAACAAATATAGATCTACATATACTGTACGAAAAAAAATAATGCAAAAAAAAAAAAACTTCACGATATTCTGTGTCACAAAATTGTTTTCTTCTTTTTACATGGGAGAGGCTAAGCAATCAGGTATTTGTAGCTGGCACTAGAGAAGAAAGCCTGAAGATATCAAGGCTTTTTATGATCGATACTTCAGTTTCCTTCAGCATGGTATCAAACTACATGTAATTTATCATATATCATATATGAACGCCATCAGAAACATGGCTATCTAAAAGCAAACTGCAATTTGAGAAAACTCTGTGTATTTTAGATGAATGTTATCCATATTTACTGTATAACGGTACGTAGCTCTCAATTATTAAACATGGACTGAAATTAACATGGAAGGTAGACCGTGGATCTGTTCATTCATTCAGAGTATTTACATATTGGAAGTGCAATGCTAAAAGCGGTAGCCGTTCATGTATGGAATTTAATTTGAACAATTAAAAAGACAGCTGAATGTCTTCAGTCTTCCAATTAAAAAATGAAAAATTGTCCGATTTTATTGGAATGGGTGTTTCAGCCATTTTCACAGTTGCGTATTGTATGATAACAATCTACTTAATAGTAAACAAACGGACATATATCATGTAACGTGTGAGAGAAGTGGTACTTATCAATACCCTAGATATTATCTTAAGTGCCTATGTGTGTATTTTCAAGCGCGAGGTAAGATGTCGAAATAACTCCTAAATTTATAGAATTAATAACTCCATACAAGCTGTTTACATTTTCGATTGAAAAATACAGTGTAGTATCCGAGAGCCCACATGGCATATATTCACTGGTGATTGCCCTTATATCAACCACACGTGCACTTTACTGATCTATTTTCTACTACCTCCGTTGTAGTCGTAGCCATTAATTACAAGCTTCAATTGATCTGCTCGAGTAGGAAATGGCATTATATATCATTATCATTATACGTTGAATATACCCGAGTCCATTTTTATTGCTTCATCGCGCTGCCTTTACCATAAACGACGTGTAACTGGTTCGTGGTTGCAAATTCTCTTTGTTTAAGAAACTCTATTGTACTGAAAACGTGAGCACTAAAGACCAAGTTTAAACACAATTAATTAAACAAATACCACTAGTTTCTTCACAAGCTTTGGTAGTCAGATGGTCAGCTGCCCACGTTACCAAACGATCTTGACACTGTGCACTTGCCTTGCCGTAATATACAGGTTGCCGATGGTAAAAATATAATGAACCTGTGGCAGATGAAAAAATAGCCAACAAAATCGAAAATCTTTGCTTATTTATTTGTTTATCTATTCTACTTTTTTTCATATGCAATGGGATATAGTCTTTATACGGTAATGCACTCATTAAGATCCATTTCCTTAGCTTGTCTTTCTAGGTTTGGCACAAATTGCAATACCGAATATTCACAATAAAAAAGAACTACTCATCCAATGCATATCCGTCCCTAGGGTAGCCATTCTTGGCTTGCCAGGAAATTGGCCATCACGTAATCATGTTAACTTACAAGGTAATTCCAGCCTTACAGTGTATGTACATATATATACTACAGCGCCACAAAGGCAGAACACGTGTAAGAAGATACAGTGTAATATAGAACACTGCTTAGACACCTATCCCTAGAGTCGTTCAATAGCGCGATATAACCGTCACTTTTTCAGACATTCGGATCTGCTATCGACTTTTTAACCTTGATCATGTACCATAGAGAATTATATGTACGTCCGGCATCAATCTCCACGTAATCGGTTTCGCATTTAAATACATGGAATGCAGGTACGGTTATGTGGAGAGATAATATGAGATTAAAAAAAAGGTGACAAATATTATTCCTGACCCTTTGAGAAAATATCAACTATTGACACAAAGGGGAAGAAAAAGACAGTGATCTTTGATGTTTTATTTTGATAATAAAACAAACCTATCTTATCTTTAAACTTTAGACGCCTTCAGAGTTGGTCGGAGACAAAAAAGAAATAAAAAGAAACGTGTATGGAGCATTGAACTATATACTCGGAGGAAATAAAGCATGTATTTTTGACAGTATGCATGGTCTTGACATTCACTTAAATTACGTGACATAATTTGTATGATACTGAAATAGGCTAGCATCAAGAAACCTAAACACCTTGTGCGTGCTGTAACACCAAAACTGTAACAGAAAAAATCTTTCAAAACCGAAACTCGCACTTAATTAAGTTTACTTTTAGTTCTGAATTAAAAACTTCTCTTAACGTAGTCATGCAAAAATTTCGAGAAGGTGAGCTTACGAAAACTAAAAGCATATTGGTTTCTCCCCTAGCTCCTAAAGCAAAGAGACACATTTACACAACAGTGAAAGTCCAAGTTGTCCGGGAAATTGCCCGTCACTTACCTAAAAGAAGTAGTTTTACTGATTGAGCTTCTTCGAGTTTGCTGCGTTGAAGGTATTCTTCAATAGCCTCATTTTGCTTTCGCTGCACCTTGGTCGCACGCTGGACGCTCACAGGAACCCCCATGGTGAATTGGTGGGTGAATAACTAGGATATGGTCTTATTTTAAACAGAAATCATTGAGGTAAGTTGTTGATTTTAATAGCACCTCAAGGATGCGTCCACGATGTTTTAAATTCTACAAGTGTGCGCGTGAGATTTGTAGGACAAGATTTACAGTTGTGCATTTTAGGACAAGGCTGAATATATAGTCACGACAATATCTCTGTGCACATTTATTGGGCTGAACAGATACGCTAAAGTTGTGCTGTTACGCACAAAACAAGCATGCGAACCTAGTGTCGGCGTGACAGAAATAGTAGTCCGCCAGGAATCGTAGTCCGTTCCCCATTACTTTGTACAGGTGACATTCATTCTATACACTAACCCCAATACTCCGACTAATCCTATAACTTGCACTAAACATAAAGGACCCCGACTTCCATTCCTAGGACTACCATTCCTATCACGGCTGTCAAATGAACGGAAAAAAGGTTTAAGTTTTAACAACAAATCAGACACAGTGCACGTCGCTGCTAGTAACTACTTTTGCTACACGAAGCGATGCAGAATTCATTTGGTTTTGTCGCTAATAGCAATAGGCTTATAGGTGTTTTGATAATAAACTTTTGAGTGTCCCAATTACCACTATCATATCGAATGGAGTAGCGAAATTACGTAACCAATGATACAGATGCATGGAACATTTCAACACAGACTTTTAATATTTTGTTAAAAAATGCTAATTTTATGACTGGCTTACTATGACCGCAACAATATTGATTGAATATATTTCATGGGGGGAGGGGAGGGGGGACCACCCGGTAGGGGAGTGCATTCCCAAACTGGAAGTAGGTTGAGTTACTGTGATTTTGCTAGATTGCTTTTTCACTTTGTCGGCTGTTATTGCATGACCTTAATCTCAAGCGACCTAAAACTCAGATAAATGAGGAACACTCAAATAGCAATTAATCCATGTGAATTTTTTATATTGAAACCCGCCTGTCTTGCATCCCCGGGAGTATGTGTGCCTATGCCTATACAAAGAGCAGAAGTCACTTAGCGTGACAGTTATTGGAATGGTATAGATAAGACTATTTTTCATATTGTACGTGCTGCAACATGATCAAAATAAGAGGTTCTTCCTTATGCATACTAGTACATGTAGCAACCATCCCCCACGCCAAGCAAGATATATATATATATAAGTGCATTGTTTCTAAGAACATCAACTGAGAGCATACATATCATCATCGCGGGTTTACTAAAATGCATAATATGTTTTTTTTTTCTTTTACTCTTCCAATCGATTTCAACATATTCCACCTTCAAGGCATTCTCTGATTGATCTCAAATTTACATGGAAGTATTAATACTGTTGATTAGTCATGTCCAGATGTTTAAACATGACATATTGATTTAATTTTGTGGTAGACAATAGCAACACTCATATTTGCATACCACACAAGTTCAACAACTCCACTTCTCTACGCAATTAAACGTTACGAGAGGAACATGCATTTTAATTTGCATATATGTGTAAACACTTCACACACTAACCTGTATCTCTGGCAATATACTCGTCTAATTTGGCAGTTAGAATTACTTCAAAATTTCGACTTCGGTATTCCTTAAGTAGGCCTACTTCGATAATCCTCCTGACACGGTGTCACAAGTAACTGTTGTATGTGCTCACACACGAGTATTTTGAGGCCCGTTCCTAGGAAAAAATACAGAAGCACGTGTTATAGCAATGGTGGGTATTATACGATATATTAGGTATAATACAGTATATACATAAAGCCTATATACAGACCTCCTTAAAGCATCCATTCGAAAGTGAAAGGTGTACAGTGTAAGCTCATGCACTTTTTAGTTGAGGCCCATTGCTATGACAAAATTCCAGAAGCACGATTAATAGACACGATATAAATTAGCAATGCGTCCATGTAACACAGTGTTCTAAATTTACCTCGCATGTTCACTTCTTCACGAATTCCTGCCCGATCCTCTTAGCATACATAGTATATATAATAAAAGGTCGTTTGCGTTCAAATTAAAAGTTTTAACTTGTTAAAACAACTTGGGCCACCTGTTCATGAGACAGCAAATTGCATTTTTATAGAATATACGCATAATATTTAATCTATTGAAAATATTCTTATATGGCAAATGCTCTAGACGATCCAATAAACAAAAATTGGTCTAAGACCCGCTTTGGAGGACAGACCCTTGCCTGCTTTACCCAAGCAATTACACCGAAATTCTCCCCCATCGAGCACTGTGCTGAAGAGAGATAGCAGAGAGGTTGCAATCAAGCCTTCATGGGATTGCGCCTGAGAGATTTTTGTTTTGTCGATTAAAACTTTTAGTTTTCGTAAGCTCACCTTTTGAGTTTTATGACTCAGCCCAGCATTTTGGCTGCGGTTGTACAAATAAAATAATTCAGTGTAAATCTGTTGTTCGATCGTAGTATAAAAGAGTCCATCAAAAAAGGAGTCCAAAAAAGCTGAGATAAGAGATCGTATAATTTCTTGTGCCGTGCAAAAAAAAAAATAAATAAAATAAAATAAAATAAAATTTAAAAAAAATTAGCATAATTTAGAATACAAACCTGCGAAAGCAACCGTTTGCGTGTATCAGCTCCTCCGTAGCATCATAGGTCTCAGTCACTATATTTACCTGGACGTGTATGACATGTTGTCAGTATCACGTCACACGTTTTTATCTTACTTCCGTCTGTTTGATCACTAAAGTACTGTATTCGCATACTTATATATCCTCTTACGACGAATAACACGTACTAATTCCTTCACTGCAATTCTAGACTACATGTAGATTTCTAGAGCAAAGTCAGAGGTGCTCAATCAATTCTTGCAAACTGCAGTGTTATACTGGATCTCCCAATTTTTGAATCGCGGATTTCATAATTGTCGATAAAATAAGTATCCTTGCACCGATATCATTGACTGATGATATTCATTTTAAGTTCTCCTCCCTCTCTGCTCTTTCTCGATCTCTCATCCGAATATGAAAAGGATCCTCCTCTCTCTGCAAGTGACGAGAAGGCAGGAAATGTACGGCATTAAATGATTGCTTGCGTTGATCTCTAACAGCTGCGGAGACTGTTGGATTATTAACACAATGATATATTACGTCAGAGAAATGAGCAGTGTAATACACATGTAGCATAGCGCTCTTTGCGTTTTATTTTGAAATTATTGTGGTTATTTTTGGCGTCTCTGGGCCAGACGTATAATCCCATCACTTAACTGTTTGACATATCTCTGATCTCATCATTTTTAAACCTTAATGTAACGGCTTATATTTTTGGTAAGGACTTCCTCCTTTCCTTCTAAAACATGATGACAAAACCTGAATTCAAATTCACATTCAATGTCAAGTACATATCATCAACGATGACATATCGACAACAGCATGAAATAACAGTCTAGAAATATCCTGCTACATTAGTCTTCCTTAATGTGTTTGTTGAGGTGAAGTACACTAGTACTGCAGTTGGGTTTATTTCGCCCAGTTTTTCAGGATGCGCTTATAAGTGAAGTAAGATGCAGTCGACAAAAATTGATACATTTTTTATATATCCATGTGCTCAGTACAATGTGAGTTTCACGGAGAAGTAAAAAAAAACGTTTCACCCTAAACAAACTTTAAGAACATGTACATGTAGAACACACATCGTGCCAAATAAATATACTGTAAGATAGCATAACAAATGTATATGACACCCTGTAAGACAAGTTCAACCTTTATGCTGCTTTATAGTCATTTAACATGTACGACGTGAAGAACTGTGGTATTTCAAATGGTGACTCTGTACACATAAATTTAACGTCTATAGTCACTACTTCCCTCACAAAAAGATTTTTCTCTACGCCAGCGAGCAACGATGGAATTCGATGATGTTCTCAAAAACGTTAACGAGTTCGGGAGGATTCAGTTAATGATGACAATATTTTTTGGACTCACCACAGCATCGACGGCCCTACAGATGATCGTGACAGTATTTATGCAACAATCACCAGCACACAGGTAAGGCATCACAGGCGCCTTTACGGCTCACGGTGCATGGAGTAGACACGTGTAGCAGATGTTTCTTCCTGTCTGTATGTGTGTATACGCATTCATTTTCAATATTTTGTTACATAACTATTCTCAGTCCGTAAACAATCTTTATAACAGTATTGATGTCTGTTGTTGTTGTTTTTTCATATTTAAAACTAATGATTGTAAATGAATACTCGCACAAAAAATCCCGTATTATCGAGGTAGCATTTAAGCATTTGTGGCGCAGTCGTGTGGAGCATGTTTGTAGTATGCAGTCGTGTGGAGCATGTTTGAAATGACGTCTATAGACCATTCTTTTTTCAAGCTACACGTCCTTACTAATCTGCTGCAAGGCCCCCGCCAGTTGCCCCCACAGCCACTCCTACTAGATAAACCACGTTCGCCATGTTAATAAGAAAGGAACTGTCACAAAGTAGATCAAACTGAAATNTGGTATTTCAAATGGTGACTCTGTACACATAAATTTAACGTCTATAGTCACTACTTCCCTCACAAAAAGATTTTTCTCTACGCCAGCGAGCAACGATGGAATTCGATGATGTTCTCAAAAACGTTAACGAGTTCGGGAGGATTCAGTTAATGATGACAATATTTTTTGGACTCACCACAGCATCGACGGCCCTACAGATGATCGTGACAGTATTTATGCAACAATCACCAGCACACAGGTAAGGCATCACAGGCGCCTTTACGGCTCACGGTGCATGGAGTAGACACGTGTAGCAGATGTTTCTTCCTGTCTGTATGTGTGTATACGCATTCATTTTCAATATTTTGTTACATAACTATTCTCAGTCCGTAAACAATCTTTATAACAGTATTGATGTCTGTTGTTGTTGTTTTTTCATATTTAAAACTAATGATTGTAAATGAATACTCGCACAAAAAATCCCGTATTATCGAGGTAGCATTTAAGCATTTGTGGCGCAGTCGTGTGGAGCATGTTTGTAGTATGCAGTCGTGTGGAGCATGTTTGAAATGACGTCTATAGACCNCTGCCAGGGACATATATGCAGATATACACAGGTAACTTTGGTTACTGTACTACCATGTAAAACCAGATGAAGTTGGCCTACTGTGTCGTTTTATCTGGCGTAATATGGGAATACACTGACAATTGTTACATATTTACCAGTTACTGCTTTCATATGTGTTTTTGAATATCCTTAATTTCCATTGTTACATCATCAGGCCTACCCAACTACCAGACTCGGCACCTACGGATCCAGAATAAACCGGTTTATCAGACCACACTACCCGTTTTCAAGGTGTGTGTCAGATCGCATTACAGAGTATCATACCCCATCACAAATTTTGTAGGCCTACCTGTCATCCGGGTATCGAGCCTCATTTTCGTCAAGTAGGACTCTTATGAACAACATGGTTGCTCCGTCAATCTCGTCCATCCCGCTAGCCATGAAAATATTTAACCCCCGACAGAATATGCCTCTGCTATCAAAAATAGGTCTAATTTTCTAAATTAATATATAAGTTTGCAAGTTATTATTTACAAAACATCATTGGCTATGTTCGAACCTAAATTTTATGTTAAAAATTGCGGTATTGTCAGATTTTTAGCATAAACTGGGAAAATTGCAGCAGCGCATGAATCTAGATGAGATGCACTACTTTCCAACCCCGCTTAGGATCATCGCTATCACATCGCGCACCAGGCAAAATTGGTGTGGTGGCTGATACTCTGTAATGCGATCTGACACACACCTTGAAAACGGGTAGTGTGGTCTGATATACCGGTTAATTCTGGATCCGTAGGTGCCGAGTCTGGTAGTTGGGTAGGCCTGACAATGCAATATCGATATTTCACTTAATGAGGCAGTTTGTTATCTGTAGAGATTTGGTACTGACATGGATACAAGACTGGTTATCTTACAGCAAATCTTTACGACGCCACACGCCTATTTTACAATATAGTCATTTTCCAAGAGTAATAAGCTTATTGTGTTGTTCCCTTTTTATAATCCCGAAACTTCCCTGGAAGCTGTAGAAGTAAAGAATGATTTAAAGAATCATTTCTATTTCAGTTTGATCTACTTTGTGACAGTTCCTTTCTTATTAACATGGCGAACGTGGTTTATCTAGTAGGAGTGGCTGTGGGGGCAACTGGCGGGGGCCTTGCAGCAGATTAGTAAGGACGTGTAGCTTGAAAAAAGATTGGTCTATAGACGTCATTTCAAATCTAAACTAGTAAAATGTTATCTCTGTTGTTTCAAAATGATTTGTTGAAAATTTACCACAGAGTCCACTAGTTATCTGTAACAAAATTATTTTATCAGACTGTTCTTCAATTTTGTATACTATTTTAGATACCCATGTGATTTCAGAGGATACACTTGGATATAGACAAGCAAACATGACGATTTTAATCGTTCTTGCTGTGATCTATATTATGTATTTCTTCCGTGGAGGTACTTACATTTCGTTGCTGATTATGTTTGTATGGTAAAACAGAGCTTTACTTCGATTCAGTTTTTGGTATTAAATGCGATTTTTCTACCAAAATAACCTGAAGTTCTTTTTTCCAGCATTGGCCGTAAGTTAGTTTCTTTCATCGCCTGCTTGATCCATGGGGTTGCAGGGATAGGGGCTGCATTTTCACCTAACTACGGAGCTTATGTCGCATTCCGGTGCTTTGTTGGCACCTGCCACGGCGTCTTGAACAATACTGTCATTGTTCTTTGTAAGTAATTGTTCGAACACCTCCGCTAATTTTGTACTGGTCATATCCCTTTAGTGGTTAACGAGGGTGCAATATTGTGGCTATCGGTGATTTTTTTTCCATTTGGCGTTTCATTCGATGTTATCATTGTTGACAACAGCCATAAAAGGCAGAAGTTTGTAAGCGCGCAACCTCCCCACTGGTTCCTTTGAAATATGTTACATGAAGCCTCCTATGAGTCTACTCTATTTTCCTACATCTTGGCAACCCCACTTACGCTGGGAATTCTATTCTAAAAAAGCTTGCCAAGAAATTAAATGTCCAATGGTTCTATATAGGCCATTTTGAAGTATTTCATGTGAAACTTGAATCAGCGGGTCCCAGTTTGTCTCATGGCCCTCCTTTTATTGGTGGAGGCAGACCAGATCCGCCATTTTCTTTTGGTAAGGGTAGGGCGTTAATCTACCCCTCACACACACACACACACACACACGCGCGCACACACATATTACTATGGATCCATCAGTTAGATTATGCATTTTTATTTGAAAACATAAATTATGCATGTAAGTCAACTTGGAAGAAAGTGACAAATTTCATGCATTCACCTTTTAAAGCTTGTTCTGAGAACAACCATTGCAGTACCAACTTGTCGATGTCAAATTTGCGACAGATATTATGCAGAGCACTTTTTGTCCCAAAACTGGCAGAATTTTACAATTGGAGTTTTTTAATCGATAAAATGATATATTTTAAAAAACTTTCCTTATTTTCAGGTATGGAGTTTGTGTCGCCAAAAAAACGAATAATAACCCTGTGCACGTCAGCTTTTTCATGGGGCACAGGTATTCTCTTGGCAACCCCGGCAGCTTATCTTATACGGGACTGGAGATATTTACAGTTAGCTGTTGCCTTGCCATCAGTTATTTACCTACTATTCTGGCGGTAGGTCCTCCTTTATATGTAATTTGAAGTATGGTATCACAGTATGGTATCACTCAAATCGCATATATTCCGAAAGTAGAAAAAAGTCTCTCTCTCTCTCTCTCTCTCTCTCTCTCTCTCTCTCTCTCTCTATATATATATATATATATATATATATA